AACTGCCAATAGGACTCTTGCAATTGAGTGGCGAAATAATAGTAATAGTGATAATGATCAGAAACATCAACCACAAAGGAACAGGGAGCATTCATCACAGGCAACTTCAGGTTAGCACAGATCATAGTAACATGACATGCATCATACCCAGGAGGTAATGAAAGCCCAATTCTGGCAATGACTCAGGAAATGCATCTAGTGCTCTAGTGGCCAGATGACCCAATGACAAGCTACAGCAAACAAGAACCATTTTAGAAACACGGGTCTTCTCCATGAAGACATCTTTTTGTTGTTGTTGAAGATAGTTGCAAATTCTGTATGTTGATGAAGCCTCTCTGGGGTGAAAATGGAACAGAGCTGATGAAAATAAAGCTTAATTAAACACTCGAAACTCTCTGACACTAAGACATGACCAGGTTTCACAGTTGATAGCTGGGAAGCAGCCGATAGAGATTCTAATCAATAATGATCTTTGCAGCAAATGGATTCAATATTTATTTATATACAATACAGTCTTTTAAAAAAAGATCACAACAGCTCTATGAAGCATTTAATATTATTCTCCTCATTATATACATAAGAAAAATGAGTTACAGAAATGAGAAAGAAAGAAAGAAGGGAGAAAGAAAGAAATTTTGCCTAGCATCTTGTAGCTAGTATGTAAAAGAGCCAGACTTCAAACCCAGGAAACTGGTACCTTAACAATTAAGTGCTGCCAAAGTGATAAAGCCTATGGAAGTATAAGCCTGTAGAAGCTACTCGAAGAGAAGTCATATTCTAGACTATTAGAACCGGGACTATCCTATATGCCTTAAAAGAATCATTATTAGGGGACAATAAGGAGAACCCTGCCTCAGAGAATAGAGCTATGTCTCATAAAAACCATTACTTAGAGATCTATAAAAGGTATAAGTTAAATTTTAAAAAATGACCATTTACAACTTGGAAAAGAAACTCAGAATTTTCTGTAGGCACTGGTCAACGTGTTCTTGAAGCGTAAGGCAAGATAAAATCTGGAAAATATCAGGAAAGGTTTTAGCAACAAAATAAGCAAGTTAGTCTCATTTAAAATATAAATCTGATGGTAACAGAAGCCTTGTGATACTGAAAAACAGTATGGGGACTAAGGAAAGGAGTGAAAACATGCTCTTCACCTATGAATTAGACAACTAAGAGGACACTCAAATTCGATCTCATGCCAAATTGGGTCACTGATGACCCATCAGGCATGGACTGTAGGACATAAAAATAAATATGGACACAAAAGTTCTGATGTATGAGCCAATTCTGCTTATTTCGACACAATACAAATTGTTATGACAAGGTATTCTTTTCCTTAAGGATGATGCCTAGCAGATAATGCCTGATTTCTAATTCAGGATTGGTACAACTGCACTTAGTGCTTTAGCTGCTACTAGGTTTAAATCCCAGATGTGTGACCTGCAGCAAAGCTACTCAACCATTCTGAATCTCAGTTCCTTCCCGGGTAAAATAGGGAAAAATATTAGTTGCCTTATAGAGTTGTAGTGAAGATTAAATGCAATGATCTATGTAAAATGGAAGCCCTTGATAAACTTTAGCCGATTATTAACACCAAATAGTTAAAAAAAAAAAAAAAAAGAAAAGAAAAAAGTCCTCTCCTTGGATAACATTACTCGGTTTAAAGAAAAAAAAGACTATTTTTGGCCAGGCGCGGTGGCTCACACCTGTAATTCCAGCACTTTGGGAGGCCAAGGCTGGTGGATCATGAGGTCAAGAGATCAAGACCATCCTGGTCAACATGGTGAAACCCTGTTTCTACTAAAAATACAAAAAATGAGCTGGGCATGGTGGCGCGTGCCTGTAATCCCAGCTACTCAGGAGGCTGTGGCAGGAGAATTGCCTGAACCCAGGAGGCGGAGGTTGCAGTGAGCTGAGACTGCGCCATTGCACACCAGCCTGGGTAACAAGAGCTAAACTCCGTCTCAAAAAAAAAAAAGACTATTTTCGAGTAGAAAGAAGCTTCTGACTGTTAAGGATGATGGGTATGTTCATTTTCTTGCCAATGGTGATGGTCACACATAGGTATACACATATGTCAACACTGACAAATTGTTTACTGGGAATATGTGCAGTTTATTTTATGTAAGTTGACTCAATAAAGCTGTTAAAAGCAAACAAACAAAAAAGCTTGCCTGTGGGTGTCATGTGTGTGTCCGTGAATGTAGTTGCTAGGAAAATTTCTTACCGAACAGAGGCACACAAGGCTGACATCCCTCCTTACAAGAAATTGGAATTAGTTTCTTTATAGCAAGAAATGTAAGGTGCTTCTAGATTTATCTTTTGTGAGAAATTTGTACCACTGACAGTAATGAACACATACATTAGCATGTATGTACCTGAATCTTTAAAAGGGCAAGAGAGAAAATACAGAGAAGAATGATTTTACACGCAATATAAATATATAGTTTTTAAACCTCATAGGAAATTATATTACTTAGAGAATATTGGGATGCAGTGATTGCATTTGGCATTTAGGGTTCTTGTCTGGAATCATAATTTACAGTCCTTCCAACATAAAGGCAGTGACTATCTACAGGCATTCCGTGATGCGGTCTTTCTCTTGTGGGATTTTTCTGGCTTCACCCAAGTCACTGAAGTCAGAGTCGCATCAGAGCAGGCAGGGTGAGAAAACACTTGTGTTCAGCGAGGCAGTGCTATTTATTGAGTGCTCTCTCTATACAGAACTGTGTGCTCTGTATAGGGCAGGAATGACATTTTGTTTTTTATTTTTCTTGGTCAATGGTGACCCCTGTCTCTTTGAGTCATTTCCTCATTTCCTCCAGTACTGATAAACAGAACTGCTAATAAAGAGTGAGCTGGGAGGGTCTGACAAAATATTACTGCCCTTAGAGCTAAATGATTGTCAAATATTTATTTGTAGGTACCTGTTCAACTATATTATTTTTCCGCTGTTGATTTTAGAAACAATTATGGAATTCTCATTAATTCTTTAAAAATGTTTAACTTGACGCAGATAAGTAAATGCAAAGCAATCGAGCTGAGGGTGGGAATGGGGGAGGATGGATGTTGGGTAGACTGCGTCAGTTATCTTGCCACATATGAATTAATAAAGATTAGTGGCATGAAACAATAAAGATTTTGTTAGTGCACATGTTTGTGTGGTGGGCTCAGTTTGTATCACTGGGGCTTATATATTTTTTCTGTTGTTAAATGCAGGTTAGCTCTGTACCACTACTGGTCTTGAATGTGCTCGTTCACATGTCGGCGGCGGCTGACACTGGATGATCCAGTATGGCCTTGGCTGGGAGGTTAGGATGTTAGGGATGACACATCTTTATTCACATCTCATCCAACAGCAGGCTAACCAGGGCGTGTTCACATAGTGATCCACAAGACCAAAAGAAGCAGCTCCCAACATCTAAACCCATTTCAAGCTTCTGCTCATGTCTCATTGCTAATATCCCATTGGCCCAAGCAATCACATGGGGTCAGACCTAGAGTCACACTGAGAGGGCTCCGCAATACTATATAGCAAAAGGCAACGACACAGGGATGGGTAAAGAATTAGAGCCTTTAGTACAATTAATCTCTAGTAAAACACGTTTTTTCTAAGGAGTAACAGTTGTGCAGGGTGCTTATTTTAGTTTTCAGACTATAAACTGACAAATTAATATTTGGTTTATTCAAGCAGATTAACTAACAAATTAACCTTCCCATCCATATTAATGTATCAACCAAGTTTGTCAGGCCACTTTGGCTTTCATTTAATTCATTCATTTAAAAATATATTTACTGTGGCCTTGTGTGGTGGCTCATGCCTATAATTCCAGCACTTTCGGAGGTCAGGCGGGTGAATCACCTGAGATCAGGAGTTTGAGACCAGCCTGACCAACATGGAGAAACCCCTTCTCTACTGAAAATACAAAAATTAGCCAGTATGATGGTGGGCACCTGTAATCCCAGCTACTCAGGAGGCTGAGGCAAGAGAATCGCTTCAACCCAGGAGGTGGAGGTTGCCTTGAGCCGAGATCATGCTATTGCATTCCAGCCTGGACAACAAGATGGAAACTCTGTCTCAGAAAAAAAAAAAGTATATATATATTATATATATAAATATATATACAATATATAAATATATATATATACACAGTAATAACAAGCAGCAATTTGCCAGTCAAGCAGGGATGTGAAGAAGAATATTAGTACTTAGAGAATAATTTTGCCCTGTTGGCTTCAAAAGATTGTCATTTTCCGATGTAATTGTTGGAAGAGGAGTCCAAATATCAGTTTTGGTCACTTTCTCTTAGCAAATACATTTACCTATGTCATATAGGACCACTTCAAGCAGTCTGGAACTCAGCAGTTACAGCGATATTTTTTGGCTATATTTTTATCATGTGGTTTCACTTAACATTCTAATAATTGTTCTCTCTGGGATTCTGACTAGATTTTATTGGGAAATTGGAGTGAAAAGGGTTGGGTGGAGCATCAGCTTCTAGCCTTTTAGAAATTACAGAGGACTAATTTTCAAAAAGCTAATTTGATTGCAGTTAGCAAAATGTCTCTCTTTTGAGAAAGAAACTCCTAATCATCTCTTTCCAAAATTAAATCCTTCAATTTCTACAGTGCAAACACGGTTGCTTTGAGAAAGAAATATTTATCCACATATAAATACCGATTACAAACATGTTTCTAACATTACTGGAAGGGCCGGTGCTTGCCTCTTCACTTCTAAAGCAAATTCACATTCTGCTTCAACTGATTATTTTTTCAACAATATTTGTTATATTCTTTTATGATCTGCCAGTACTTTTTTGAAGCCCAGTTAGTTAGAACAGCGGCCAACAGAGCTGAGACTAAAAGAAGGCCAAACATCTCTTCAGAAGCAAGATGTTACTTCAAAAGATATTTATTACAAAGCACTACTGTGAGTCACATCATCACTTGTTTTTTAAGGGGGGATTTCTTAACGTAGAATTGGTTTCTTATCTTCCCAGCCCCCAGTGAGCCTTTGCTGTGCAAATTCGCTGATGGAGGACAAAAGAAGCGACAGAATCAAAGCAAATATACCCAGAATGGGAGGCCTTGGCCCAGGGAAGGAGAGGTGAGTCCTGACCGACAACATTTGCTCTGAAATTCAGCGGTAGATAGCCCTCAGAAGGTAGCAGGGCAGACATGTGGCGCCATGATGAAATTAGGTCCCATGGAAAACCCAGTGTCTTGAAGACAAGGCAAATGAGCAGCCCTATGTTAATGAAATTACTTGAGAAGGAGTAGAGGACTTCAAAATTAACCTCATTTCTGCACTACAGTAAGTCTTCTGTCTTTAACCAACCTTGTACCTGACAGGAACTCAGTGAGATACTTACCTACAAAGAACCTGAAAGGGACTCAGTGACATACCTATGTACAAAGAATTGATTTCTAGTTGTATAAATAGGTATAAAATGAGGGTATAATTACTTAATAAAATATTCTCAGTGAAATCAATAGTGAGAGTGGAATGCTTGTGTTTTGAAACAGGCAAACACAATTTGGTTGTTTTTCATCCTGCTACTGAGATGATTTACTTGCACATGTATGTATATTTATGCATATTCCCATATGTTCATAAATGTTCTATTATGTTTTTTATTTATATGTATATAATAGGATATTATCTATTGGTCAAAAAGGAGGAAGAAAACTTGAGACATACAGCATTTTGCTTTCACAACAAGGAAAAGCACTGAACAGCTCACTATCCATTTATCCTCAACACAAATGGGTAGAAAAGCCAGCTTATGGATCCATTCCCTCTTAGGAATGCGTTCTTTTCATTACTTTTTTATAAGAAGACAAGGAAAAGGTGTCTGAGCTTCCATGAGGTCTTTTCATTATTTGTGAAATGGAATAGAGTTGTTTGAATGACTTGAACAAATGCCATTTTGTACCAAGGCCATAATTTCAACAGAAGAGCTTTATTTAGTATTTCATTCAAAGCACCTACTTCATCCATTTATCATTTAAGAAGCATTGTACTTCATGCAGCATTTTACACTTTAAAATACTGACAGAACAGTGGCAAGAAAGAAAGGAGGCTGGATTTCTTTTCTCAGCAAAACCTTTAGCCGTTTTTCAGTTTCTGTTTCTAAGACCATTGTCTGTTTTGAGTGTTTTCATGCAGGTCTCAAAACCCCTCTTAAAGGTTGTGTTATGTTCAAGTACTATATAATCTGTAACTCATTACATTAAGGCTTGAAAAACAAAATCATCATGGAGCATCAAAAGCTAATAAAAAAGACAAGAGTTTTCATAGTCTCAACTTTAGAAAAGCAGCGGGTATTGTGTTCAAAAAAGAAGGGGGTGATATATGTGTTTTTAGCATGGAGTCCAGCGCATCAGCAGATAACCCTACTGGCCCCAAAAGACAACTGAAGCCTGATAGCACTCATTATCACATGTCCCCTACCAAACAGCCATGATCTAGAAAGACTCATTTGACATTTTAAAATGTGGTTGGATAAAATGCCTGCGATCGAGATACCTTTGGATCACAGACTATCATCACAAAGCCCTGAGACTCAATTAGCAACTTGTCATAATGACAGAAGCTTCAGTTTCTTTCTCCTTAAGGAACTATAATATTGCCTTCATACAATAGATGGCAATTGCAGCAAGACACTTCATCTCAGCATCCATTTCTTCAAAATGGAATCAATAAATACAAAATGGAGAGTTACAGCTGCCACCTGGCTATTGCATATAGAATCTAAGACTTTGCTTCAAAGCATGATAAATGCTGTATGTACTATGGTGTGGAAGCATTGTGGCGCTGAGTTTAAGACCCAGAGGAACTTATAATTTAAATATAGGTTTTCAAGGTATATTCCTAATCTTTGTTTTCAAAAGTTGATTTTTAAGAGCTACACATTTTCCTGTTGATCTATGAAAATCAAGGGACCATAATAAAATTTATCTGTGACCAATAAAATATATTCCAAATACGGCCGGGCACGGTGGCTCACACCTGTAATCCCGGCACTTTGGGAAGGCCAAGGCTGGTGGATCATGAGGTCAAGAAATGGAGACCATCCTGGTCAACATGATGAAACCCCTTCTCTACTAAAAATACAAAAAATTAGCTGGGCATGGTGGCGCATGCCTGTAATCCCAGCTACTCAGGAGGCTGAGGCAGGAGAATTGCCTGAACCCAGGAGGCGGAGGTTGCAGTGAGCGGAGATCGCACCATTGCACTCCAGCCTGGGTAACAAGAGCGAAACTCTGTCTCAAAAAAAAAAAAAAAAATATATATATATATATATATATATATATATATATGTTCCAAATACATACACACATTGAGAGAAAATAGATTAGGAAGAGAAACAGCATGCACTAGAAATACACTTATTCAATTTCTTAGATTGGGGATACACATGTTAATTTGTACGCTCTGATTGTGGTCTTAGAAGTAGATACCCAGAGAATGTTGAATAACTGTGTGCCCATCATTTTATATTTTTTGCTTCCACTTCCTCCTTGCATTTTACTTGCTAAAGTATATTAGCAAGTTGATAAAGTATGTCATGATACAAATAATCCTATATAAGCAATATTTAATTAATTTTATATGCCAGAAAATTCTGGTTACTGTATTTGATTCTAAGACACATATTTTTGTTGTGGTTGTTTTTGACACTTTAATGCTTGTGAAATTGGTTCTTATACTCGTTGGCATTTTACAAGATAAGATGCATTTTCTTCTCTTACTCACTTGGGGGCACTACCTACATTCTCTGGTCAAGGTTTTTGACCACGCTGGTTTCATAAATAAAAAACTAACCAAAGCCAGGATCAGATTCTCAGAAGAGGGTTTTTTTGTTTTGTTTTTTGACCCCTTCCCACATTCAGTGTCAAGATTGAGACAAGTAACTTTCTTTGGTGTCTGTTCTAAATGGTTAGTTTTCTCTTTCATTTACCATTATACTAAGGTTAGCATACCAACTTTATAAAGAAATCTTTTTGGGTGTTTGTTTTTGCTTGTTTGTTTGCTTTGCTATATGAAACAATGGTACACCTTTCAATCCTTGTTGTCTTCGATAAAATGAAAGATGGTAGTTTAGATTATGCTGCTGTGGAATTGAAGATAATAGCACAGAATGAGACTAATGTTTACTTTTCCTCTCTCCTAAAAGACAAGCAAAAATGGTCATGTGAAAGGGATTTCTGATGAAATTCTTAGGATACGAAACCAATAGATTACAAGCATTTTAGAAGTACCATAAGTATGCCAATTGATAGACTAATTAAAATTTTAATTTATCATTTAAAGCTGTTTTTTCCTCATGGCATTTTGATAAAAAATTTTATTAGCAAAGTTCAGCTAAATGCATTTTTTAATGAAAAAAAATCTAATACAAAAAACTTAATACATAGAAATTAGTATAAATTAGCAATATTTTGAAATATAAATATATGCTAGTGGCCATGTTTTGTATAAGTGGAAAAAAAGGGATATTTTTCAGTTATTAACTAATCTTTCAAGAGACAATTAGAACTCTGAGTAAAATGATGGCGGGATTGGGGCTGTTAGGCTCTTTCTCCTGGCTATTCCACAGTTCTTGTGGTTTTACTTCCTTAAGCAGCAGTTCTCAAACTCTTGGTCTCTGGATCCCTTTATACTCTTAAAATTATTATTTACAACAAAATAAATAACAGAAATTAACTTATCTTGTGCTAATAAAAATAGTATATTTTATTAAAATAGATTTTTTTAAAAGGAAGGCAATTTTTGAAGAAAAGTGGTACTCTTTTACATTTTTAAAAATCAATTTAATGTCTGGCTCAGTAAAAAATGACCAGATTTGTACATGTATTTCAGCATTCAATCTTTTGCTATATGCTATCATACTTTAAACATATTGAGAGAAATCTACCTTCATCTAGATAAGTTGTTCAAATAGGTAGAACCCTAAAGGTCTCCTAACACGATCTTAGGAATTCTTGGTATGTTTCAGCCACAGTTTGAGAACCACTGTCTTAAAGAAGCTGAAGCCAAGGGCAGGGCTGAGATTCAGCTTCCATATACTAGAAGGGCCATGCAACTTGTTGGTATTTTACAATATCCCAAATGCCCATCAATGATAGACTGCATACAGAAAATGTGGCACATATACACCATGGAGTACTATGCAGCCACAAAAAAGTATGAGTTCATGTCCTTTGCGGGGACATAAATGAAGCTGGAAACCATCATTCTCAGCAAACTGACACAAGAACAGAAAACCAAACACAGCATGTTCTCTCTCATAAGTGAATGTTGAACAATGAGAATACATGGACATAGGGAGGGGAACATCACACATTAGGGCCTGTTAGGGAGTGGGGGCACTACGAGAGGGATAGCAGGGGCTTGGGGAGATTTGGGAGGGATAACATTAGTAGAAATACCTAATGTAGATGACTGACGGGGGTGGATGCAGCAAACCACCAAGGCATGTGTATACCTATGTAACAGTCTTGCACGATCTGCCCATGTACCCCAGAACTTAAAGTATAATAAAATATAAAATACAATAAAGAGTCTATAAGATATATCTATATCACAATACAGCAAGCATGGGGTGCTGACTGGCACAGAAGGAGTTCCCCAAAATCCTACTCATGCATTTAAATTCTGATGGGTGTTTATGACATATTGGTAGCAAAATGCTTTTAATGTCACCCCTAGCTCAGAAGTAGTCTCACTTAATCATCACAGGGACCCTGGTGACCCCTGGTAACATTGCACTGGCCAGATATTCAATACACCTGAGGCTGTTTCTTACTTTAGGCAAAACATTGCCTGAATCAACCTTGTTTGTGCTCTCCCAAATGACTGGCGGAGCATTGTGGAACTAGGAATGCTTCAGGCCACTTCAAAAATATATCAGGAACACGAAGAGGAACTCCTGTTGCTTTTCTTTGTGTTCCCAAAGATCTTTCCAGTGACTACAAAAAGTCACCAGATTGTACTTTTTGCTGCAAATAATAACAGCTGATCAAAAAGCAAATAGCTGCAGAAATTTCTAGATGGTCAGATCAAAATTTGACTGATGGTAACTTAGTGTCCCAGTAAAAGTA